TGCAAAAATGGCAATGTAAAGTAACCCCTTGGCTACACAAACCTGGAGCTCAGTGGAGAAGCCAAAATTACTTTTTGCCAATATTTGAAACAAAATACATAACACTTATTGAATGCCTACTACATACTAGGCATTTCACACATAGCATCTCTTTCATCTTTTGGACAGTTCTGTGAGGTGAGGATTATTCTCTCTTTTATCAGGAGGCTTCAGGAGGTTTAGTGATTTTTCTATAGTTGCACAACTAGAAAACAGTGGTGCTGGGATTGGAACTCCAACAATCTGACTCTTGGTCTTTTGAAACCCTATGCCCAAAGAGTTCAGGGGAAGACTGCTGCTGAGAGTATACAGTGCTCAGCTTCAGTGGTGTCCAGTGCAGGGGTCCGCATTGGCATAGAAATGGTCCTACATTTCCTCCAGAACTTTGACACCAGCCAATCACATTAGGTTTCTCGTCTCTGGTCTTCCTCCCAAAGATTGACCTCTCTATTCATCCTACCTAAAGTCTCATCTCCAATCATTCTTAAACCACCTTGTGCTTCCTCCACATCAACTGCACCCTGCTTCCCTCTCTACCAGCCCTTTCCACATGCCTTTTGGAGCCCTCAAATGGAGGTCTGGATCTCATTTAGGTAAGGCCTCTCTGTGAACCCTCTGAGTGCTTGCTGCTCATTTTTCTATGACTCTGAGCTTCAGGACTGAGATCCAGATCAGAATGAGTCCTGATTTTAAGTGCCACTTCCAAGTGACTTTTTCCCTTTGAGTACTTGCTGCTCATTCTTTTATGACCCTGAACCTCAGGACTGAGTCAGATCTCAGTGAGTCTTAATTTTAAGTGCCACTTGCAAGCAAATTTTTCCCTTTCAAGTTCATGTCACTCAAATACACTATCTTTTATTTTTTCTCATCACTGTCATTTCATAGCCCCATGAATATTTTTTTGTGCAGTGCTGGCGATCCAACCAGGGACTGGCTTATGCTAGGCAAGTGTTGTGTCACTGAGTTACACTATGAGCCTTTGAATACTCACTTTTATTTGGTGAAGAATTGGTCACTATCTTCATCTCCACACAGGTGCCATCATTTTGGATGATCTATCCAGGCTCCTGGGCTTTCCCTTCTCTACTCTTCTTTAATTCCATGTACATTCTACCTCTGCTCTTCACTTCCAAGAAACTTGTTCTACTCCACCTCTGATATCAATACCTCTAACATCTCTTTATCCACAAGTTTTTACTCCCATAAGTCTCTTGCTGTCATATCCATACCATCTCCATTGCTTAACCTAACTGAACCCACTTCAGTCTCTAAATTATTACCTCCCCAGCAGATTAACATTTTCCCTCTGTAGTGTAGGTCTCATGGCTCATCACATCAGCCCTTCAATCTTGCTTTTATTATTCCACCTGCCTGTCCAGCATATGAAATCCCAACTTCAAACCAAACTTCCAACTCCTTTGCTCCTCTTCTCAGGTTGCTGAGTACTGCTGAGCACAACTATTCAGATCGGGGTCATAGCACATTTGTAGTTTTTAACCTCAAGGGGCCCTTAACACTAGTTCTAAGTCCTTCCCAATGACTGTACTCTTTGTCTTTCATCCATGTCCTTTCCAATTCTTCTCAGGGGTAATTTTTAAGTCTCCCATTCTTCTCTTTTTACACCTCTCCTTCTTTCTTTAATCTCAGAAGACCTTGGTAAGGAGGAGTCATGAAACAAGAACTACTTCAATTCCTTGCTGCTAATCCTACTTATCTATGTAAACCTACACACATCCAATTTCTCTCCTATTATCAAGAAGCATCATCTACTTCCCTATACCTCTTGGCTGTTAAAAAAATCCTATCAGAGCTATCACTTTACCCTCCCTACCAGCAATCTCATGAACTTTACCTAATATATCTTATCATTTCTAATTTATTGCATCAAATTATTTCCACTCCACTGTATACTTATTTGGCAAGTTCAGAGATAGCCCATGTTAAAATAAACTCAAACCAAAATGAACCAAAACTTCCTTAGCTCTGGATATCACTAACTCTGTACTCTCTCCTATCTAAGCTCTTGACTTTTTACCCAGGCTTCTCCAGAGAATAGCCTGAATTCACTGTGTTCACTTCTCAACTCCTGCATTCTATTTAATCCATTACTCCTCTGAGATCACATCAAGGGACCCAGTGTGGACTTCTCTGTCAAATTCTATAGGCTGTCTCAACCTAACTCATCTATTTTGGCAATTGTTAGTGATAACTGCTCTTTTCTTGAAATGATCTTTACATTTTATTTCTATGGTAGCATTCTTTCTTTTCCTACCTTTGCTTCTCAGTGTTCTTTGCTAGCTCCTTTTCAGCCTTTAATATTGTTCTTCCCTAGGGTTTCCCTTATTTTTTTATCCTCCCAGTTCATTGAACTCCCCAGTTTCCATTGCTATCTGGTATCTACAGATGTCTAAATCCACATCTCTGGCCCTAACTTTCTCCTGAGGTTTAGACTGCATATTTGAGTATGTACTAATATCTCTCTCCAGATAAAACATGTGCAAAATAAAAACTCAGTATTTCAAGCCAACACCCCAAATTCTGCTTCTGTTTTCCCTGTTTTTATAGAGGCATTATTATATCGTGGCGCTTAACCCAAAACTCCCGGTCTCATTCTATTGTTTTATTCTTTTTATTTATTTGTCTCTCTCATTGAGTTTATTGCTTTCTTCTTTATTACCTACATCTAGTGTGTAACTCACAGCAGGATATTCTGCCTGCCGGTTACTTGTCATATTTGTCTGACCTTTCCATTCTTACTGAAATTCTTAGTTCAGTTCTTGTTCCCTCTCACTTGGACTATAGCCCCCAGCTTCCCCACTCACAACCTTTCAGGATGAAGCCTGAACAAGTTAGTATGACCTGAAAGAACCCCCAAGATCTGGGGTCTGAGTCACTCATTAGCCTCACTTTTTCTCACCTACTTCCTACACTAGAACCCTACCTACCAGCCTTACCAGCTTTCTGGCATCTCACTGTGCTCTCTCTGTCTTCCATATCAATGCAGTCATACAATATGTGGCCTTTGAATCTGACTTCTTTCATTATAATCCATTCATAGTGTACTTTTATAAGCATCTCACTTTTTCTATTGTTAAATGATAACTTACTACATGAGTATGCCCCATTTTATTTACTTATTTGTCTGTTTTTAGACTTTTGGGTAATTTCCACATTGAAAATTATGAATAATACTGATATAAACATCTGTGTACAAGTTTTTGCATGAATAAATGTTTCATTTATCTTGCGCTTATACCTAGGAGTGGAATTGATTAGTTACATGGTGATTCTGTATTTCACTTTTTGAAGAACTGCCAAAATATTTTCCACAGTGGCTGTACCATTTTACATTTCCATCACAAGTGTATGAGGGTTTCAAATTCTCCACATTCTCACCAACACTTAATCTCTTTAAAAAACCCTTTTCATTATTTATTTATTTTGTATTTTTTGCAGTAATGGAGATTGAACATAGGGCCTTCACAGTAAGTTACATCCCCAGCCCTTTTTATTTTGAGACAAGATTTTGCTAAGTTGCTGAAAGCTGCCCAGGTTGGACTTGAACTTCTAATCCTCCTGGCTTAGACTCCCAGAGAGCTGAGATTACAGGTGTTTGCCATCACATGTGGCTTATTTTATTTTACCATTATTATTTTTGAAATAGGATCTGACTATATTGTTCAGGACTTGCTTGAATTCCTGAGCTCAAGAAATCCTCCTGCCTCAACTTCCTGAGTAGCTGGAACTGTGAGTGCCTAAAAGCACAATATAACCACCTTGTCTTTTTTATTCTAGCCGTCTTATTGGATGCGAAGTGATATCTCAGTTTTGGTTTGAACTTCTCAAATGACTAAGGATGTGTTAATTGATTATTTGAATTACTTTGTTAGAGAAAGAGCTACCAAGATACTTTCCACATTTAAAAAATGAGAGTGTTTTTTAAAAATTGAGTCGCGTTTTATTCTCTGTGTTTTTTTTTTTTCTTACTTCTTTTTGCAGTGCTGGCAATGGAGTCCAGGGCATCTTGCATGATGTGCTCTACCACTGATCTATGTCACTAACCCTTAGTACTTTTTTCTTTATCAATCATATGGCACTTAATGTTTACTGCCTTGTGTGATGGTGGTATTTTTTCACATGTAAATAACATTTCTCCAGCTACATAGGAAACTGTTTGAGGGTAAGAATTGTTTCATACATGTTGTTTTCCTCACTATGACTAGTGATGAAACACTGCCACTGCCCAGAGCTATCATTTATTGAGCCCTTGATATATGCTACATGCAGTGTTAAGAACTTTACATACATTATCTCTTCATTTTATACACAACTCTATGAGGTTGCCATGATCTCTGTCCCACAGATAAGGAGATTGAGCCAGGTAGAGTAAGTGGCTGAGTAGTGACTCAAAGGCAGGTGAGCATGATCCTAATCTGACTCTCCTAACCATTAAAGCCATTGCTTCCTTTTGCCATGTGAACTAGTATGGTGCGTGCTTCCTGTGTATATATAGTAGGTGCCCATAAAATCTTTTTTGATTCATTAGCCTCTGAAATACAAAGACCTGCCATTATCTGATAAGGTAAAATCTATTAAAGTATTCAGAAAATCCCCAGTGTTCTATAAATATGAGATATTTCTGTAATATTTCCTCAGTGCTATGCAAATGAGGGAACATGTGTAGTGGTAATGCTGACATCTTCATGTCAGTATCCTGTAATGCTATCTTCAGGTATCATACTGGAAAGGCGCCAGTCTTTCTAAGGAGTACACTTTCCCTGGGTCACAAAAATCTGAGAGTGAAGATTTTTCCAGAAGCTAACCTCAGTGCAGATATATATGCTACCTTGGTGAGAACGACTTAAGATTCTTGTACAACAAATCTCCTTGGTCTTTTATGTCACTTGTAAAGTGTTTATCAACAATATTCTTTCCATTCCCACTTCTCTCCCTTTCTCCAGATGCAGCTCTGCCTCCCTGACATCTAACCATGCTAACAGCCTCTCAGATGCTAAGGGGGTTCATTGGAATAAGTTAAGCTGTTGGAAGCTTTGTCTGGGCAAGGTGTATAGCTGACATCTAAAGGAACTATTCCCCATGGCCAAGCACTCATCCCAACAGAAAAGGAAGATCTGCCAAGCCTGGAGGCGGTGTGCAGTGACATGTTTTCAAAGCTTGCTGAATTCTGAATAGCAAATCTGACCATGCATACAAAGAAAGGTGATTTAATATTCTGACTACTTCTCCCCCTCCCCTAATGCCATCTGCACAGAGATACAGCAACCCTCCTTCTTTTTATTAAAACTAAGACTATTGTCTCCATAAAGGATGTTCATATCTCATCCTAGAATTCAGTGTATATATGTGCCCTACTCAAGACAAGTGCCGGGAAAGAATGGAAGCAGGTACAGACCACTTGGCAAGCATGTTTGTATTCAGGAAAGTCTGCAGAAGTAGAAGAAGGTTATAAGTGAATCTGCTAGGGGTAGATAAGAACCACAGGTCACCAGCACCACATGTGCCCCACCTGTGATTAAGCCATATGCTTTATGCCATAATTCTCATTTAACAAGGCAATAAAGCAGGGGTGCGGGTGAATGAAAAGTGCTTCTCAGGGACAGTATATTTTGATCACATCTTCTGTCCCTTTCTTTTCTCTTCATAAATCTGGCACAACTGGTTTAGTTGATTGGGACTTTTGTGTGTTGTTTGGCTTAAGTACGCACAGGGCCTAGGCTCTGTCTCATTATGCATATGTTAGCACAAATTACTGCATTTGAAATGATGAAGCCTCAAATGCAGTAATTCATGCTAAGGAAAGGGAAAATGTTACAGGAAGGGCAAATGAAGCTATGTGTCTGCACTTGTTCACCTCATTAGAATACTACAAACTTGGCCGACAGATTTCTTAACATTACGTCAAAATATTTTCCTATGTTTAAGAGCACAGTCTCTTGAGTCAGGTAATGTTAAGTTTATGCTCCAGCTTTACTGGCAACTAGCTGTTTGGCATTGGGCAAGATATTTAACCACTTGGTGCATTGGTTTCTGCATCCTTACAACTGTAGTCTGGCTCCAAATATTATGCTCTTAACTCCTAACCATATTGCTTCACTGTACAATACATAATAGAGTACTGGATTTTGTGGTTAGTATTAACTAATATACTGTATTAAAAAACACTTGGTATAGAGATTGGAACATAATATTTAAAATGTTTTTCTTATTCTTTTTTGTAGTTATGCTGGTAAGCATATATATAGAATATTCAGACTGTACCAAGTAAGGGTAGGAAAAAGCACTCTGAATGGAGGGGAAAATGTGAGGAGATGGGGGAGTCAGTATAGTCTAATGGTAAATTCTGTCAGTATTGACACCTTTACCTGTTATCAGATGTATAACTTGGGCTAGTCATGATTTCTGTTTTAAGCCTCAGTTTTTTTAATCAGTAAAATGGAGCTAATAATATCAACTTCATAGAGTCATCATGACATATTATATAAATAAAACACTGAACAAAGTGCTAAACATGGAGTAAATTCTTACTATTTTTTAGGTGCTATTTTAAAAAATTATTTTTCCCTATGAAATGTGATACCCTAAGTCAGCAGCACAAGGGCTAGGTGGAAACCAAGATACTGAGTTGTGGATGATAGTGCATGCACTGTTCTGTCAGGGTTTTGCAGAGTTCTAGAAGCCTGGAGAGGGCAGGGAGAGGGAGAGAATAATGGAGAGGGAGAGGGAGAAAGAGAGAGAGAGGCAAAACTGTCAGATTCATCTGTCCAAATTCATCCATCAGTGCCCACATTTTGCACATTGTGTAGAACATCACAATAGTTTTGCTGAGGCCAGGACCCAGGATCCATGCACACCATTTTGGATAATATTTGGGGAGTCAGAGCCTACTGACAGTGGTGGCTTCTTCATGTAGTCTAGCCTCTTGGTAGCTTCCCAAATGATGTGGGACTGAACCCAAGGTCATAGTACATAGAAGCAGAAACTTAACTATTTTTCTTGATCTACCAGGCCAGCTATCTTGCTAAAGGTTTTAATTACCTTGGAGAACCTGACAAAAGTCAGGGATTCCTTTCCAAAACAATGTTCATAGCCTCAACCTCCACTCCTATACACAATTTAATACACAATTTTGGGGAGATCAAAGTTATGAGTTCTATAGCATCTAAAAATTTAAATACCTAGGAATCAACATAACAAAAGAAATCAAAGACCTCTACTCTTAAAAACTACAGCACTCTGAAAAAAGAAATTGATGAGGATATCAGAAAAGGGAAAGACATCTCTTGCTCCTAGGTAGGAAGAATCAACATAGTAAAAATGGCCATGCTTCCAAAACTGCTATATAGATTCTATGCAATCCCAATAGAATCCCAGCAACATGCTTCACAAACCTAAAGAAAACAATCCAAAAATTCATTTGGAACAAGAAGAGACCTAGAATAGCAAAAGCAATTTTAGGCAATAAAGAGAAGTTAGGGGGTTTCACAATCCCTAACTTGAAACTATACTACAAAGCTATTGTGATAAAAACAGCATGGTACTGGTAAAGAAATAGACCTGAGGACCAGTGGAAGAGATTAGAAGGTGCAGAAACAACTCCAGACACAATCAGCCACCTCATCTTTGACAAAGGAGCCAAACACCCTCACTGGAGGAAAGATAGCTTCTTTAATAAATGGTGCTGGAAAAACTGGGTTTCAACTTGCTAAAGATTAAAACTAGACCTATATCTCTCACCATGCACTAAAATAAAATCAAAATGAATTAAAGATCAAAATATTAAAACAGAAACACTAACCAGGCTGGAAGTGAGGTTAGGTAGGACACTTGAAGACACTGATGTAGGAAAAGATTTCATGAACAAAACCTCAGTTGCCCGTTAACTGGCACAAACAATAAACAAGTGTGATGTCTTATTAAAAAAGCTTCTGCCGGGGATTTAGCTCAGCGGTGGCCTGCCTTGCAAGCGCAAGGACCCGAGTTCAATCCCTGGTAACCCCCCAAAAAAGCTTCTGCACAGCAAGAGAAATGATTAACAGTGTGAAGAGACAACCCACAATGTGGGAAAAGCTTTTCACCAGCTTTTCCTCAGACAAAGGGCTATTATCTAGAATATATAAAGAACTGAAAAAAATCAGATCTCCCAAATTTAAGACCCAATCAAAAAATGGGCAGCTGAAATGAACAAACATTTCTCAAAGAAGTAGAAATAGCAAATAAACATATTTAAAAAGGTTTAACGTCACTGGTCATTCAAGAAATGCAAATGAAAACAATGCTGAGATTCCACCTCACCTTAGAAAGAATGGCTGCTACCACAAAATAAAACAGTAACAAATGCTGGTGTGGCTGTGGGGAAAGAGGAGCACTGCTGTACTGCTGGTGAGAGTGTAGAGTGATGCAACCTCTGTGGAAAGCAGTATGGAGATACCTCAAAGAACTAGGACTGGAGGTCCCATTTGACCCAGCTATTCCCCCACTGGGTACCATAGTGATAGATGTGAACCCAAGTTGACAGCAGCACAATTTGTAATAGCTAAAACTTGGAAGCAGCCCAAATGCCCATCAAGGGGAGATTGGATAAACAAAATGTGGTTTAAAAAAATAAAATGGAATTTTACTCAGCCATAAAAAACAAGAAATTAGAGACATTTATAGCTAAATGGATGCACATTGAGGCGATACTCATAAGTGATATAAATAGGACACATGTGTAAATACTGAAAAGTTTCTCTAGTGTGAGAAACCGAAAGTGTAAATGAAGACTAAAAGGTATAATAGATAAGGGGAAGGTGAAATTGGAGGGGTAGGGGAAAGGAAAGAATGGAATGGAATTAATATGAGAAAATGAATAATAATGGAAACAAAGTCTTTGTAGACAAGGAGGGAGGAAGGGGTTGAAAGGAGGGTAGGGGAATTGGGAAAAATAAGAATCAAGGTTAATTATGTAAAGGTACAATTTTACAACAATGAATGCCATTATATTGTATACAATAAAAGTACTAATAAAATTAATTTTTAAAAAAGTCATCATGCAGGAAGGCCCCAAAGATCCCAGAGGGTTTTTTTTTTCAGCTGCCTGCCTGCCTGCCTGCCTGCGATCACCCGGCGGCGTGTGC